TGCATGCCAGAGCCAAAGCAAAGAACAACAGAAAAAAAAAAAGAAAAGAAAAAAAGAAGAAAAGAAATGCGAGGAGAAAGAAACGAGAAAAAAGAAAAATAGGGCAAAGCAAGCACAACGCCCCTCACCTCCACCACCGCACCCGTCGCAGACGCCTGCTCACCCGCCCGCCCTTACACCACCACCTCCTCACAACCCTCCTCCTCATCCAACAGCCCCAACCCCTCCCTCAGTTCCCTCGCCCACACCCCCGCCCCGGCCCTCTCCTCAGCCCTCTTCCGCAACCCATGCCTCAGCCACCCTTCCAGACACCACTTCCCTGCACCCAAGTCCCTCCCCAGCACCTCCCCCAGCCCCCTCAGCTCCCTCCCACTCCCTGCAGCAAAACCCACCGCGTCCCCGACCCTGACCATCTCCCTCCTGCGGAAGACATTCCGCCCCGCCACGGCCTCAAAGGGCGACACGCCCAGGATCAGCACCAGCAGCGAGATGCCGAGCGCGTAGACGTCGGAGGCGGGCGTGGGTGTGGGTGCGGGTGAGAGGCGGCACAGCTCGGGGGCGAGGAAGTCCCATGTGCCGCCGCCGAGGGGGAGGGCGAAAGAGGGGGTGGTGAGGGGAAGCGGGGTTGTGGATGAGGGTGTTAGAGGTGAGGTGGGGGGCGTGGGCGTGTTGGTGTTGGTCGTGGTCGTGGTTGTGGTGGTGTTGAGATTGAGGTTGGGAGGGGAAGGGCGCAGAGCGAACGACGCCGTAAAGTCCGTGTACAGGGGGTGCAGGTCCGGGAAGCCATCGTCGTCGCCATCAGCGCCCTCAGCGCCAGCCGCAAACAACGAGAAGCGGCGACTCTTCTTCCCCTCTCCCCCCTCCTCCCCTTCCCTCTCCTCACCACACTCCCCGACCCTCCACCCAACCCACCTTCTCAAAGTCCGCCCCTCCCTCGGCCTCAGCAGCACATTCGCCGGCTTAACATCCGCATGTACGACGCCCGCCCTCTCATGTAGCCACTCCAACCCCTTTAACAGCCGATCCGCCAAGCGGGGAAACAATCTCGCAAGCACCTTCGTGCGCCGTGCCGGGCGCAGCTGCGCCAGATCGCCCGCAATCAGGTCCTCGAGCGACAGCGGCAGCGCCGCCATGAGCACGCTGCCCGATGCGGGGTCGAGGCCCAGGAACGGCACGATGCGCGCGGCGGCGCCAGGGGTAAGGGTCAGGCGCGTTAGCGTGCGTGCTTCGCTGCGCAGGGCGGCGCGGGCGGAGGCATTGAGGGGGGTTTTGATTGCCCAGATGGCGGAGGGAGCGGAGGAAGCGGAGCCACTGAAGGAAGCGGAACCACCGAAGGAAGCGGAGCCAGTGGCGGTGGAGCAAGAGGAGAGCGCACCATCCCACTTAACAGGCGTAGCCGGGGGCGTATACGCCGCTTCAGCCGCTGCCGTTGCAGTTGCAGCTGCAACACCAACACCTTCATCCAGCACGGGCGCAGCCGGCGCAGGATACGCGAAGCGCACGACGCTCCAGAGGCCGGCGTGGCGGGGCCCGTCGGCGAGGACGGTGTAGTCGGCGGCGGACTCGAGGACGCCGTCGGCGGCGACGCGTTGGAGGTGGGGAGAAGGAATGGTGTTGTTGGCGGTGGTGGTGGGGGCGGGCGGCGAGGCGCGTGTGGGTACAGCGGTGTCGATGTTGCTGTTGGGTCCGCCTGGGGTCGTGATGATGCTGAGGGCTTGAGGAGGATGAGGATGATGATGCGACGACGGGGCGCCTGCGAGCTAGTTAGACAGAGCAAAGCCCAAGGCGGAGCTGCTGGACAGTATATATATATATATCTTCTGTCTTTTTTATATCTAGATCTTTTTATTGGGGAGGGGGTGTATACGTACAATTCCGGGGCTGAGCGTTAGAGGTCATGATGATGGGCAGAAAAGCGCGTGAGGGCGGAGAAAAACAACTAACTGCACACACAAGGACCTAGGTAGGTAGCGAGGCGGACCAGACGAGCGAATTTGCGCGTGAGGGCGAGGGGATTCGCGGGCGTTGGCCGTTAACGTCGTTGGTCGTCGCGCTACAGGAGGCGTATAGCCATATAGGTAGTAGGTAGGTAGTGCGAGGCGCCGGACAGAGAAATGCTTCGCTCAAGTATTGAATCAAATGTGTCTTTTTTAAATCTCTCGAAAGGCGTGCCCGTGTTCAGAGAGAAGGGTGGAGGAATGCAGGAAGGCAAGGAAAGTCAAAATGAAACCTTTTTTTTTTTTTTTTTCCTTTCCTCTGTGTGGTGGG